GTAAGTCACACCCTTTCTGAACCTGGGTTTTCTCATTTATAAAGTGTGGACTAGATGACCTCTATCTGAGGTCTCTTCCTGCCCAAATTCTGTGAGACGATGGGAGGAGAGAAGAGAAGGGATCCTGGAAGCCTTCATTTTTTCAGTAAAGTAGGAGGTGAGGTCATCTGCTAAGAAGGAGGAGTGGAGAGCATCATGAGCTTAAGGAGAACGGAGACAGCTTGTAATAGCTGTGGTGAGGAGGCCATTTAAAATACGTCATAAAGGGGAAGATGAGAAAGCCCACGTGAGCGTAGAAGTGTTCTGTTGGCTCTGACTGGCCCTTGGTTGAACTCAAAGGAGGTGAGTTTTTGCCTATGTCTAGGTCAACAGGACCCAGCTATGATACCAAGGGGCACATGGGGAAAGGTTGCTGGCAAAGAGAGAGGGGGGCAGCACCAACCCAGCTGCTGTGGGGTGTGTACCTGTTAGAAAGTAGAGAAAAGGTCATGGAGGAGTGTCTGGGTTCCATTGTTTTCCTCTTTCTCGACATAGGGGTTTCTGTTTCCTTCCCATCCCCTGGGGCTTCTGCGGGAGATGGATAAGGAACTAGAGAATCCAGGGAGGAGGAGACTTCTCATGCCAGACCACTGGGCTTTCAATGTCACGTTCTCGGACATTCCCGGATTCTAGGCCAACATGAAGAAAATTCCCGCAGTCCACCATGTGAAACCAAGAGCCAAGCCATCCAGAAATTACTGCGCTTTTGCAAAAGTTATGGAAGGGGTGTGCTACAAGGTACATGCCATTCTGCTGGTTACAAGGAGGAAATGACGCTTGGCCCCCCTGTTCTGGGCACTAAAATTCTTGCCTTGATGGGTTTGACCATGCCTGGGGTGGGGGGAGGAAAAAAAGGGAGGGGACAGAAGGGGCCTTTCCTGATCCCCTCACTCCCACCCATTGCTAGTGCTTTTTCAATGAGATTTTCTCCCATTTACTCTGCATTTATCTTATATTTACATAGTATTTACATGTCTCTTTCATTAGAATGTGAGTTCCTTTAGGACAGGGACTGTGTTTTTGCCTTTCTTTGTATCCATGGTGCTTGTACACTGACTGTAGAAATTAGCTTAGCACAGTGCCTGGCCCATAGTGGGTGCTGCCATGTGCCCGGCACACAGTGGGTGCTGCCATGTGCCCGGCACACAGTGGGTGCTGCCATGTGCCAGGCACATGCGAAGTGCTTTGCAAGTATCTCATTTAATCTTCGCAACAAACTTGGGAGGCTGGTGCTATTATTATTACCATTTGACAGCTGAGGAAACTGAGGCTAACAGATTTGCCCAGGGTCGTACAGCTAGGAAGTGACTGAGCTTTTGAATCAGGTCTTCCTGAGTCCAGCCCCAGAGCTTTAACCACTGAGCCACTATTGGCATACAGCTATATGGAGCCAGGATTGTAGATCAGAGAATATAAGATCACAGATTTAGAGCTAGAAGGGACTGTCCCTATGCCCTGGCATGGGGTACCTTCCTTCCACCCTACCCCACCCCCCTTTCAGCTTTCTTTTGTGTGCTGTCTTGCCTCATTAGATTGTAAGTTCCCTGCAGGCAGGAGCCATCTGTTTTTATTTCTATTTGTATCCCTAGCTCAGCACAACTGGCCCATATGTGTTTATTGACTATTGACTCAGAGGTCATCTAGCCCAAGCTTCTGATTTTGCAAGAGGGAGAAGTAACACGCCCAACCTCTCACAGGTAGTACACGTCTGAGGTTGGATTTGAATCCAGGCCCTTTCATTCTAGAGCGTGTTCTTATCTGTTTCTGAGTCTGTTCCTAAAGTAGTTCCTAGGTGCTGCCAGGCCATGTGCTCCTTTAGCAAAGCCTTTGAGACCCCAAGGCTACCGCCTCACCATGAAAGGGAACATTACGAGACAGACATTACTAATTACCCAACATTAGGATATGAAGAAAGTAGTGGGTGTTCAGTTCTTTCAATTGTGTCCAACTCCTTCCTGACCCTATTTGGGGTTTTCTTGGCAAAGATACTGGAGCAGTTTGCCATTTCCTCCTCCAGCTCATTTTACAGATAAGGAAACTGAGGCAAACAGGGTGAAGTTATTTGCCCAGGGTCACACAGCTAGTGAATGTCTGAGGCCAGATTTGAACTCAGGTCCCCCTGACTGCAGACCCAGTGCTCTATCCACTTTGATACCTAGCTGCCTTCAGCTAGCTAGAGAAGGATTGGACTCTTATTAGTACAAAGAACTCCCAGGTAAGGAAACTCCTTTACTAATGCAGGTTGGCACCTTCTCTTCATCTTATAGTCTTAGCAGGGAGTGAAAGCACTCAAAAGGTCCCAGAGCCAGTAGGGGTCAGAGACAGGCCCTGAGGCCCTCTATTTCTTGCTCTCAGGCTGACTCTCAGTTACCAAACATGTTAACCCAAATTTGTTGACTGACAGCCCAGCAGAAACTCCTTCCCCTAGACTGTCTCTTTTGAGGGAGTTGGGGTATCCTCCTGAAACTGCCTCTCTCTCTGGGGAATGATCTCACAGCACCAATTCCTTGCCTCAAAGAGATTCCCCCCAACAGAGTTCCAAAGTCTGGAGTATGAGAGTCAAAATGGAACAGGGTGCTGAGGACCTGCAAACAGGCCTGTGCTCCTGAAGCCAGTGGTAAGAACTTGGGACTGAAGGTGAGGAAGGTGATGGACGTTTGGAGAGGAGAGGCCCCACAATGAGACACTGCCTCCATTTCACAGTCTTACCTTCTGACTGGCTCTGCCCTCCTTGAAAGGGGGCTCTGACCAATGTGCCGATCTCTCCTGCTTCTCCTGAGGTTGCCATATAGCCATTCTACAGATGAGAAAACCCCCATGTGAAGAGAAATGGGGCATGTGCATGTACCCCAAGTCAAGACTGGCTCTGATCCCCATCACTTATAGATTTAGGTCTGGAAGGGACCTCAAAGGTCATCTCATTCTCCCCCCCCATCCCCCTCGTCTTACACATTAAGAAACTGAGGCCCAGAGAGATTATGTGATTTGCCCAAGGTTAGACAAGTTCTCAAGCACACTTAAGAGATGACTCGATCCATAAATCATTCATTTAAAAACCAGAGAGCAGAAGTGGGGATTTTAACTCAGGACCTTTGACTCCAAAACTAACATTCTTGCAGCAGCCTGTCTCCATCCTTCTCCTTCACAGAGATGCTCTTCTGAAGATTCTCCCCTTGGTCCTGGTCTGTCTCTGTTCTCTATCTGTCTCAGCTTTTTCTCTCTGTCTCTGTCTCTCTCCCTGCTTCTCTCTGTTTTTTTTTCTCTTTTGTCTCTCTTTATCTCCTCCCTTTCTGTCTCAGCCTCTGTCCTCTCTGTATCTCTCTCTATCTCTCTGTTTCTCTGTCTCTCTTCTTTCTCTGTGTATCTGTCTGTCTCTGTCTTGGTCTCTGTTTTTCTGTCTGTTTTTTTCTCTCTCCTCTGTCTTTCTTTTCTCTCTGTCTCCCTGTCTCTATCTCTCTTTGTGTCTGTTTTTTTCACTGTTTCTCTCTCTCTGAGTTTCTGTCTGTCTCTGTTTTCTCTCTCCCTGTCTCGCTGTCTTTATTTCTCTCTGTCTCTGTCTCCCTATCTCTGTTTGTCTCTCTTTTCTCTGTGTATCTGATTTGTCTCTCTCTGTTTCTCTCTGAGTTTCTGTCTCTCTGTCTCTGTTTTCTCTCTCCCTGTCTCCCTGTCTTTATTTTTCTCTGTCTCTGTCTCTCTGTTTCTTTATCTCTGTTTGTCTCTCTTTTCTTTCTCTGTGTATCTGTCTGTCTCTCTCTCTCTGAGTTTCTGTCTCTCTGTCTGTTTTCTCTCTCCCTGTCTCCCTGTCTTTATTTCTCTCTGTCTCTGTCTCTCTGTCTCCCTATCTCTGTTTGTCTCTCTCTTCTCTGTGTATCTGTCTCTGTCTTGGTCTCTCTCTCTCTTTTTCTGTTTCTCTGTCTCTGTTTTCCCTCTCCCTGTCTTTGTCCCTCTCTCCCTCTTCTTCCTCGCTGTCTCTGTCTCTCCATCTCTGTGTGTCTGTCTCTTGGTGCATGGTCTCATGCACCAGCTCCTCGCTTGGGAGGGATTGGCTTGAAGAACAGCAGGCCCGGCTTAGGGCATCGGGGGCGATGTAACAGGAGGAGGGGAAGGGTCTTCCAGGGCACAGACCGACATTTCCCCAGCGTCCGTGAGCTCAGCCTCGCTCAGCTGGACTCATGGGCTCAGGTTGCTCAAGAGGTAGCCTGAGCTCAGGGCGGAACGATGGCTCCCTCCAGTGGACAAAAGCGGTAGCGACAGCCGGACTGGTAACGGTCCTTCCTGGGCTGGGGAAGAGGATTCCCTCCTCACCCAGTCTGCTGTGCTCTGGGTCTTAGAGGTCTAGTCCACACCCACTGCCCCTACCCATTCTACAGATGAGATAACTGAGGCTGGGGAGGTGAAGCAACTTGCCTCAAGTCCTGCACAAAGTGTCACGGGGACAATTCAAACCCAGTTCCTCTGAATCCAGACTCCTTTCTGTGACATCCCACCATCTTGCGCCTGACTTACTCTGGCTTATCTCATCCCAAGAAGGATGACTGATGCAGGAATGTCACACTTTACCACGGGCCTACAGGTGAGACATTTTTCGCTCTCGGAGTGAGGGGTGGCTTGTGCCTCCTCCCCCCTTCCCCAATCACACATCCAGGGAGTATCTGCTACGGGGTGGGAGCAAATAAGCTTTGAAGGTCCCATCTGCCTGGGGAGGAGCAGTCCCTTCTGGATTCAAAGGATCGATTAATGCCATCCATTTTCCTGACTAATGACTGGGCTATGGTGAGCTCGAGTTCTGGGCGGGAGTCCCTTAGGGTCCAGTCAATTCTCCCTTACATGTATGCACCTAAAGACACATGTGGGTATAGACCTCGAGGGATCACCCCGCTGCGGGAAAGCAGCAACCTTCAGCTCCTAAGGAAGACCATCTGCCATCAGTACTGCAATGACTACCAAAGCACACACCAGGATTCATCACTCACTAACTTCTATTTACTGAGCACCCATTGGGTGCATGACATCGCTCCTTCCTGGAGCCAGGAGGAGTTCAAAAAACACAATGAAGACACAGCCCCTGCCCTTTGGAAGCGTGTGCTCTCAAGGGTGTTGAGAATAGAAACAAAATGGGAGAGGCAGTGAGGCCCAAGTATGGCTGTGGGGAGAGCCAGGGAATGTGAGTTAGAGGGTGAGTCTTCCTTGCTGGCTGGTTCACTTGGCTGAGCAAAGACAATGAGTCTCTGCCTTGACCTTGGCCTCCTACATGTGCTGACGTAGTCTTTGCACCTCTCCGGGAAAGATCAGAATAAACCAGGGCTACGAGGGCTCTGGAGAACCATTTCTGGGGGATTCCCTTGGGGACCTTGTTGGAGACACCAGGAGCCAGAATCCATCCCTCAGAACCAAGGAAAGGGGGCATGCCAGGCCAGGGCTGCCGCTCCTTCTGCTAGAGACAGAGGGAGAAGACGCCTTTCCCTGGGTTTCCAAAGGACTGTATATCTCAGGGTGGTCCTGGTAGGGAATTGGGCTAAGGGCAGTCAAGAGCATGGCCTGGGGGGATAGGGGGTGGGAAGATAGGAAGATACTATGTATGCTGTGAGCTCATAAGAATTTCCTGAGCCTGCCATCTTTCATCTAAGCCATCACCCCCATTGCGCAGCTGCTCAGAGGGTGATTCTGCTGCCTGGGGGAAACTGGGCTGGAATCCTGGGGAGCTGGGGTACCCAGGCCCTGGCATGCTGTAACAGGGGGTCCTCCTCTCTGCTGCCTCTTAGAGGAGTCATCACCCCTGTGCACACCTCCCCACCTACTCTTAGGGACTGGGGCTGGGGGAGGGAGAGGAAGAGTCCAGCATTGAGACCCCCTATCCTGTTCCTCAAGAAACAAAGGCCACTTGTTCCGAAGTGCCAGGTCTCTAGCCTCAGCCCTGGAGTTTCTCTCTTGAGAGCAGAAGGTTCCTTCACCCGCTTCCTGCCCCCACTCCCAGACACTTGTCTCTGCTTGGCTGATCACTGAATGAGTGTTCAAGCCAAGGGCCTCTCCCAGTTGGCAGGGCCAGGGGAGGGGGGAGGGTCAATAAGGAGGAGGAGGGGCTGGGACTTTTGGGGAAAATGTTGCTCTGCCAGGCTCAGTCCTGGGACACCTGCTGATGCCAGACTCTCATAAAGCTGGGTGGGGTGGGAAGAGCAGGGGGAAAGAGTAGGCCTACACCTTTTCTCAGGCTGACCCAGAGAGCTCTGTAAACCAGCGCATACATACAAGGGCTCAGGGGTTCCTAGCTTCCTCCAGGACTGGACTGCCTAGAGCTTGTCAATAGATGAGCCCCATCCCAACCCCTCCCCAGGGCTTTTCTAAGCAGACAGCCTGGCCTCTCCAGATCTGAACCTTCAACACCCTTTTCTCTGGACCTCTATGGTTCTGGTGCTATGTATAAGAGACAGCACTCTAGGGGGCCAATGGCACCCCAGAACTAGAAGCGATTATAGAGAGTATCTAGTCCAGTGGGTTTTAGAAATAAGGGGCGATAACATATTATCCCGTATCAGGTCGGGGGAGAAGCCCAGATCTATCTCTCCTCTGTCTCCCCCTGCCCCCCAACAAGCAAGCATGACTTCTCTGGAGGGTGGGGGAAGTGGGGCTTATCTCTACTCCTTACCTCTTCTCCCTCTAGGAGGTTGGGGGTGGGGGATGTGATTTGGAGGTTGAAGGCTGGGGAAATTTGGTGACTTCAATGAAGCTGGGTGAAGGATGGAGTTGGAAGGAAGGGGAAGAAAAAAAAACATACAAAAGAGGGGAAGGGAGGAATCCGGGGCTGCCTCCATCCATCTCCCAAGGCTGAAATCCTTGAAAGGAATGAGCCACCTGCAAGGGGTGGAGTCCAGCCGGGGTCAGGACCTGCTTAGCCCTGAGGTGCAGGCTGGACTGAGGGAGGCATTTCTCCCCATTGTGAGGCATCGATTCCTGGGTCTGCCCCTGGCAGGGGCCTTGTCCAGCTCCCAGCTTCACAGCTGGTTTCGGTTTCTCTTGGGTATGATCTTACGGTAGGTCCTTCTCTCAGAAATGTTCCGCTTCACCTTGGCTGTGGTGGGGGCCTCTTCCTGGTGCAGGGAGGGACTAGAATGGGACTTCTTGAGGTTAGGCTCTGGTTCCCAGGTGCCCTCGGCCTCCTGTGCCAGCCGGCTCTCCCACAGGTCCAAGTCATCGGAGGGGCAGCGCCGGCGGGCCACCAGCAGCAGGATGTAGGTCTCGTAACGGGTTTTCTGTAACACACAGGCCCTCTCAGTCCCCTCAGCCCTTAGTCTCAGTATGAGGGAGGGAGGGAAGGAGAACTAACCTGGAGGAGGGCATAAGTCTGGGGGCCCTGCAGAAGGAGTGGAATATGTGGGGCTGGGGTGATTGGGGCAGCCCTGTGACCTTTTCAAGTTGAGGGATATGGGGGAGACTTACCAAATGTGTGTGTGTCTGTGTGTGTGTATGTAGATAAATGAGAGAGAGACAGAGAGACAGAGAGAGAGAGATGATAGCTGATAGATGGAAAGATGGATCATACACTTATCGACACATACACAGTGAACACCTAGGAACAAGACAAGTTGCGCTGAACTCAGCCCTGAAAGCAGAGAGGCAGGAATGGGCTGGATGACTAGAAGAAATCCCTTCCCTGACACCAATGCCACACTTTGCTGGTCGAATCATACTCATATTCTATAGTTAGAGAAGTCCAGCATTGATCTTTTCCACCAACCCCCATCTGAACCCCTCTCCCTTGGCATTGCCCGCAGGAAATGTCCTGCCTGTCACTGTTCATGGCTTGTGATATAGATTTATACTTCCGGTGAGCACCTGGTCAGGCTGGGCCCTCCAACCAGTGAAGAATGCAGTCCCTTTAGGATGTAATACATGGTCTTGAAGAGTTGCTGGGGAAACTCCCCCCCCCAAAAAAAAAATAAAACAAAACCACCCTAAGGCCAACCTGATGTTAAGACTCATGAGCTTAGCTGAGATGGTCCCAGGTTGACAAGCCCTTCTTTCTGTTGGGGTCCACTATCACTTGTGCCCACTAGCAAAGATTTTAAGACCCAATAAGGACTTTAACATTTATAGAAAGTTTAAAAATCGCAGGAGGAAAAAAACCAAACAAAACCAAACCACAGAGACATGACCAGGATTGCAGATCTAGGCCTTTATCTCAGGGTGCTAACTTTGAAAAAACAAAACAAAACACAGATATAACCAGGGTCACAGACCTAGGCCTTTGCCTCAGGGTGCTGACTTTTAGGGGACATTGACATCAATTGTTCTCCATTAGCTAAGAAGAAAGATGATTCCCTAATTCCTGAGACTAATGACTCACTATAGGAAGCTACCAGATGGCAGTTTCCTTTGCCTGGAGGCATCACCCAGGCGAGCTCCTTCTGGGCCCAGGGTGGGCTGGGGTCTGTCTCTCTTTCGAGGACATCCTTTCCATCCCTACCCCACAGCTGAACTCATCTTAAAAAGTTGCTTTGAGGGTTTGCCCATTTCATGTGACTTTCCCCAGGCACCTCATTGTTTCTTTGAAACATTTGCTTCAGGTGTAAAACAGTGCTCCGGGTGTAAACAGTGCTTCAAAGAATAAGGTAGACATTCAGAGGTAAATCTTAATTTGTCCAGAAAAAACAGTTGGCGGTCTTTCCAGATCTATTGGCTGTGCTAGCTGAGAAACATCAACGTGTATGTTATCTAAACTTGGGCAGCCCATAAAAAACAGACAAACAAACAAACAAAAAACGTGCTAGATATATTCAGAGATGCAAAGATCTGTAGGAACAATTTATGGCTGAAAAGGGTTTTTTTTTCTAATTTTATGGAGGAAAACAGAATAAGCCCAAAGAAAAATGTTTTGGGTTAAAACAAAATAAACTCAGCATTGTATGCCCTGACATGGGCCTGCGGAGACTTTGGCCAGAGAAGTGATTCTCAGACTCAAAAAGATAAAGGTATGCAGGGTCAGGGACCTTCCTGAACTACAGCTTCTGAGCTCCTATCAGTGTCACCTATCTCCAAGGGCACATTGCTGACGCTCAAGCGGAGTTGAGACTATACAGGGGAAGAAATCACAGGAACTCGGCTAGCGGGAGAAGAATGGTTATGTGGAGGTGGGGGTGGGGGGAAATGGCTGAATGCCATGGAGAAGACCTTACCTCATACTCCAGATACTCCTTCCGGAGCCTGTACTCCTCCAAGTCTCGGCTCCGGCCTCTCCGCTCAGGCAAGCTTTTCTGCAGATCTATTAGGTCATCAGAGGCTGCATCCAAACAGTTCTCGTGGGATCGGTGTTGCTCCTCCTGTGTTTTAAAGAGGGCCAGTCTGAGGCTAATGCCTGCCCCTGGGACCAGCCAAAAAGCCACCCTAAATGTGCTATCTGGATCCCCCCCATTACCACCTTGGGGGGGGCCTGCCTTCTACACTCCTCTCTTGGGCTCTGTCCTCACTTCTCCCCTCTGCCCAGGGGTCGGCATACCAGGGAGCTCCGGGCTGGGCCAGTGGGAAGGATGGGTCGGACAAATTTCCGTTGAGAGCCCACGGCAGCAGGAAAGGGCGGTGCAGAGTGGGTGGCTGCGGCCAAGTTTATCCTGGCAATCCAAGAAGTCATCTCTTTGGCAGTTCTAGAGTTGGCATCCCAAAAGCCATTGGGTGGGGTTGGGAACAAGGAAAACAGTGAATCCTTTTATTTACCCTGTTTTTCACCTTAAACTATTTCTTTTCCCCCTCCCCCATGCCGCACATACCCACTTCTCTCTATTTTTAGGGGGAGATTATCCCTCCCCTCCCCCTGCAGAAAGCATACACCCTTAGAGATTCATGGTGAGGTGTGGTCCAGACCAATAGTGGACTGAGCCCAGTTCCCAGCCAACAGCAGTCAGGGCTGAAGTCCCAGGAGAGAACAAGAGGGAGGCTGTATGGGGGAGGAGGAGCCCCAGAAGCATGACGAGGGTCACTGCTTGGTCCTGTGCACCTTCATCTCATTTTCCTGTAAGTACTCACGGGGCATGGAAGAGGTAGAGGCGCCAATCAGCTGTGCGCAGTTGAAAGACGTGAGGTTTCTTGGTGTAATGGACAGCCGGGACAGCCAGTGCGTGATGTACCCCCACAGCTTCCTCTGGCATGGGCCCTTCTGCAGGCCAGTCTTCTGGACACGACTCTTCTCCCTGCCCCAGGGGGATAATACTTAGAGATGAGAAGAAACTTTCTGGGTCTCCAGAGGGAATGTGGGCATGATCCTCTCTCCAATGTGAGTCTAGGTTGCCCACCATGGAGATGGCATCCTTACCTTTAGGAAGTAGAGCACCATCCCTCGAAGCAGGGTGTGGAACATCTTCCAGCCGCGCTTCCCCCAGGGAGCTGTCCAGAGAAGAGGAAAGAAGGTGGTGGGCACACATGTAACTAAGTCTAGGTCACTGAGGCTTTTCCCCAGGGAGAAAACTTCCCCTTGGTGTAGTCCTCTAATTGAGGGGGTGGGGGGACATTTATGTGCCCATCAGGTTGGCCTTGGTTTAAGCAATACTTTCCTAGATAAAGGATTGTTCTGGGAGAAGAGGCACTCGAGGGGCCTCTGACACAGTTTTTGGGAGGAGAAAGGTGCATTTCAGGTCCCCCAACCCTCTAGGGACAGGAGCTAAGCTCCCACATTTACTCCAGGGTGGGGACAGTTCTCCTAGCTCTCAGACAGCTCCGGGCCAAATGTTAGACTGGGTACAGGTTGCCAGGCCAGTGCAGGCCACCAGTACCTGCAGTCACTGAGTTTACCCCCGGCATCAGAGTGGAGAAGCTAGAGGCACAGTGGTTAGAGCACTAGGCATACAGTCAGGAAGATCTGAGTTCAAATTTGTCCTCAATCATTTCCTTGCTGTGTGACCCTGGGTAGGTTGCTTAACTTCTGTTTAATCTCAGTTTCCTCAACTGTTAAATTGGGGTAATAACACCACCTGCTTGTTGTGAAGATCAAATTAGATAATATTTGTAAAGTGCTTAGCACCCTGCCTAGTGTATTCCTTTCCCTTACTCCTTAGTGATTCTCTGCCTTCCCCCTTCTCAACAGCCCTGACCACTGAGAAGAAGCTGATCCTGGCCCAGTTTTTCCATGAGAGGCAGTGTGACCTACTACTCATGGAAATGCAACTTCAGACCCTGGGGAAAGGATAGAATAAAAATAGCCCAGTTCGAATGCCTTCTCCTCTATGTAGCTTTTTTTCTGATCTCTCCAACCAGAAGAGATTTCTTCTCCTAGGTAGGGTAGTTGACAGACCACTAGACCTGGTTCAGGAAGAGCAGAGTTTGAATCCTGCTTATCTGTGTGACCCTGGGCAACTCACTTATACTTTTTCAGCCTTCATTTCCTCATCTGTAAAATGGGGATAATAACAGCACCTACCACACATTACTGTTGTGAGGTTCAAATGAGATTCTATATACAGTGCCATACAAATGTGAGCTGTGATGATGAGTTCTTATTGGCCCTTTGTATGTATCACATGTCTTTTCTCAGTCTATTTTGTATTAGGATTATTTCCATATATCTTTTTTCTACATCAAAATTTTAAGCTTTTTGAACTGATGCTGAATAAAGTGAGCAGAACCCGGAGAATACTGTACATAGGAACAGCAACATTGTGCGATGCCTAACTTTAATAGACTTATCCCCTCAGCAATACAATGATCTGAGACAATTCTGAAAGACTCATGATGGAAAATGCTATCCACCTCCAGTGAAAGACCTTTGGAGTCTGAATGCAGATCGAAGCATATTATTTTCACTTCTTTTTCTTTCTTGTGGTTTTTCCCTTTTGTTCTGATTCTTCTTTCACAACATGATCAATGTGGAAATATGTTTAATATGAGTGTACATGTATAGCCTACATCAGACTGCTTGCTTTCTGGGAGAAGCAGGAGGGAAGGAAAGGAAAGAGAAAAGCTTGAAACTCAAAATTTCACAAAAATGAACATTGAAAAGTATCTTTACATGTAATTTGAAAAAAAAATACTATTAAGAAAAAAAAGGAATAAAAATTAAGCTCTTCAAGGATGGGTTATTCACTTTTGTGTATGCCCCACAATCCCTCACATGTAGTGGGTGCTTAAGTCCTGTTCACTGACCTAGACAGTTAGCACGATCAGTTTATGTACATGTCACACACACACACACACACACACATACACACCCAGAGTATCCACAGCATCAAACACTCACTCTTTTTCCCATCAACATCAGCGTGCATCTTTCGAGCCAAGAGCCCTTGCTTGTAGGTGGGTACGGTAGGATCTTGGGTGATCTGAATGAAGGTGTTGCGTCTCTTCTGGCTGCCTGAAATGGATGGCCTGTGCTTCATGGGTTTCATGGCTACCTCCTCCTCTTCATCCCTGTGAGATGAAGAGCCAGAGGGTATAAGGGCTGGCTGGGATGATGGAAAGAATCCTTCAGAGGTACAGCCACAGGAGAGGGAATAGCTCTGAGAGCATAGGTGATAGAACACTGGACTCAGAGCTACATAGACCCTAGTTCACATCCTGCCTTAGCAGGATTACCCTGGGCAAGTCAGAAACTCTATCTGCCTCAATTTTCTCATCTGTAAAATGAAGATAATAATAGCTTCTACCTCACAGGATTGTTGTGAGGGCCAAATGACATAACCTATGTAAAGTGCTCTATAAATTGTTTCAAAAAATTTATTTTATTCTGAACTTAAGAAATAAAACAAGCATTTCCATAATATAGTAGAATAGAAAAAAAGATGATTGCACACGAAACCGCAAATCTATTATGTACAACTTGCTATTTCTTTTAAAAATATGATAAAGTTATCATGCAAATTTTTTTTCCTGTTTTCCTTCCCCTGCTCCCCCCAGCCTAGAGATGCTCTATACATTCTAGAAATCATTATTATATTATTATGGATGGAGACCCAGAGGGGACAGCAGCAGGGCAGTCTCCCTGAGCCCCTGGATATAGAATGGCCAACCCTTTCCCCAGAGAAATCTAGGACAGACTTTATGCTCTCCTAGCACCACCCCCAGTGTCCTAGGTTTCTATGCTCCAAGAGACAGGGACTGCCCATGAGCATGGAATTCTCTCTCTGTTCTTAAAACTAGTCTTCTCACCTCCCACCCCTTTTCAAGCTGTCCCATATGTTCTCTGTCTATAGAACAGAACTGACCTGGGCTCCCCTTCTCCTCCATCCCTTGTTTAGACACAGTGGGTTGGGGCTTCCCCCATTCCCCCTGGCAGCACGGACCAGGTCCTTGCTTCTGTCTCTTTCTCAAGAATAGCAGGAACCAGGCCCTGGGGCTGCTTAAGTGGTCCATGGTTCCTGGGTTCTAGAAGAACCACCCAGTTCCACAGCCTACCCTGGAGAAGTCCTTCCAACATGAGCAGGGGGTAGGGGCACCATGGGAGGAGGTGGGGGTTCAGGGATGCAGTAGGGAGGGGAAGAAGGGCTATCACTCACACTGCCCACTCCAGCTTCTCACTGCGGATAGACCAGTAGAGTGTCTGGAAACAGAAAACGACAGCAGATGAAGAAATAGACCATAGTCACCCTTAACATTTGATGAAACTGAGGCTTGAGGAGGTTAAGTAATTTATCCTAGGTCATGAACATCAGAAACTAACTGTCCTTTGAAGCCTAGCTCACATGGCAAACACCACCCCCCCACTCTATATCCGCCACCCCATGCCCCACCACCAAACCTTCTTTGTGTTGGGAACCCGCGGCCTTGAGGCCACATATGGTGGGGCCGCACTTGAGGACCCAGAGGGCCATATGTGGCCTCGAGGCTGCAGGTTCCCTACCCCTGGCTCTGGGCTCTTAGGGGTGGGGGCAGTATCCAATATCTTTTTCCTAAAGGGATAGTGGATCATTAACAGCCCATTCTGGGCATCTTCCTTCCTCACTGTTAGCATCCCCAAAGCCAAAACAAGCCAAGGGGGAAGTGAACTAGGAATCCTAAATACATCACGTCTTTCTTATAGGACGTGGCATCCCTCAGAGGGCCCCGCAGGTGATGGGCACGTGGCAAGCTTGTCCTAAACACCAAATGGAGGAGGCTCTGTCACTGGATAGCAAATTATTTCCCCTCTTTGGACCTCAGTTTGGCTGAAATGGAAAGTATGCTGGGCTTACAGTCAAAGGTCATCTGTGTGACCTTGGGAAAGTTATTGAGCATCTCTGGGTTTCATTTCTGTCGTCCCTAAAATGAGGGGTCAGAGGAAATAATCTCCATGGTCTCCTATCACTTGGGACGACGGACATTAGCCCATTAAGGACCTGGGCGTCCTGAGCTCCAAGAAGAAGCGCTGCCCCCCCCAGTCCCCTTCCCTTATTTGTCTCTATACCTTCAGCTGCTCTTTGGGGAAGTTCCCACCATCCCTCAAGCCATTCAGGTTGGTTATGAACTCCTGGCAGCTCATGCTCCTGCCAATGTTCTGCAGCCACATGTGTCCATGGAGAAAAGCAGATGTAAGTCACCATCCAACAGCGTCCCCTCCCCCTCTCCCCCATGCTCTCCCACAGCTGTCCCTGCCCAGGTGCTGGAAACGTTCTCAATCTCTCTGACTCACATCTGGCCAGCTTGCACCTCCATGTTTTATCTACCAGGTCTGACCTCCTAATTGCCTCCCCCTTATTCCATCTCCTTTCCTTAGGTTCTATAGCACCCCGAGCTCTCTCCCTACCCATCCTATACCATGCAAATGCCCTCCACTCATAAAGCCACCCTCTGATCTACCACTCCTGCCAATCACCAGCCCTTCTCTTCCTGATTCGTTGCTCTCATGGTGCCAGGACTATGGGTAGGATACTAGTGGACCCTCTTAGATTGAGCAGGCCGATATTCCAGGAGCCAGCCACACTGGCCTCGAACCCCAGGAAAAACTAAGAGGTGGAGCTTCTCCCATTTTTTCTCCTGTCTCTGCTTCCTTCCCTTTCTCTCTTCTTCCTCCCTGCTGCTCCCACCTCCCTCAATCCCTACTCACCTGTCCATGCAAATCTGTGTTAAGGAGCATTAGTGCACAAGTCAAGGTGTGGACAGCATCTATGGGACAGAGAAACCAGGAAGTCTAGGGTCTTGATGTGGACTAGGTTGACTGTCCTGATCTCAACTACTAGTAATACTGGCTGATTCAGCAGCATCAGATTCAATGATTCGGTAGAGCTGACTTTATCCTTTTCCCTTTTCCTCCCCCAATTTAAGCCACCCTTAGGTGGCTCATCATGACATGGAAACCATAAGAGCTGAAAGGGCCCTTAGAAGATATCAAGTCCAACATCCTCTCCCCATTTTACAGATGATGAAAATGAGGCCAAGATCACTTAAGCAATAACTGGGATTCGAACCCAGGCTTTCTGACTCCAAATCCACTATATATCCCCCACTGGACCACACTGCCTCCTTAAGCATTGGAGTATGAGCCTTGCAAGAGATTGTCCATCTTTCATCCAATGACCGGCCCAGTAAGGTGTGAAGAGCCTCATGGTCAGAGTGTTGGTGACTAAGTGACTCATTTCCACCCCGAAACCATCTACTAATATCTGGAAGGAAGGGTGGCTGTGATGAGGAGATGCCCAGACAATGAAACCATCGCACTTAGAAGTATTTGAGGGGTGTTGCTCCCCCTCCTCCAGTTCGCTCCCAAACCAGCAGAGACAGACAATCTCCCTACCTTCTCTCGGATCCTTTTGCCCAGCCAGGGCCCCTCCCCTCTGGCCTGCCCTGTCTCCCTCTGTGATCATCCTTTTCTCACCTGCTGATGGGAAGGCCCCAGGGTTGCAATGGTGGAAACGCTTGGAGAATTGATAGAGGATTCTCTCTCGCTCCTGAGTCTCCCCACTCAACACCAGAGCCTGGAGGAAGCCCCTGGCATGGGGTAGAGGGGGCAGGATAAAAGTTAGGGAGGGGAAATCATTGGAAAAACGTACAGTCTCCCACACCTAGAATGGATTCTCACCCCCCCCAACTCCACTCCATTTATCTACTGAAATTCTCCATAGAATCATAAGCCCAGACCTGAAGGGACCCAGGACCTAGTCCAAATCTTTTGCTTAATCATTGAGGAAACTGAGACCAAGAAAAGTTAAGTGACTGCTCCAATCTAGGGAGTATTGATCTAGACTTGGAAAGAACCTCAAGACCCTGAGATGGTCCAATGCTTTCATTTTCAGGTAAGGAAACTGGAAGAAGTCAAGGGGCTTGACCTTTGAGTTACAGTGGAAGTGAATATTAGAAGTGGGATTTGAACCCAGGATTTAATACATGCTAAATGGTATTGCAGGGGCAAGTAGGTGGCACCGTGAAGACAGAGCCAGAGTCAGAAGACATGAATTCAAATCCGCCCACAGACACTAGTTGTATGACCCTGGGCAAGTCACTTTACCCTGCTTGCCTCAGTTTCCTCATCTGTAAAATGAGCTGGAGAAGGAGATGGCAAACCACTCCAGTATCTTTGCCAAGAAAACCCCCAATGGGGTCACAAAGAGTCAGACATGACTGAAATGACTGAACAGTAAGCTGGTATTATGGTTACTTGTTCTCATTTTTTGCCCCTGTCAATAGTCTATAAGTGACCTACCGAAGGGCTTGGTCCAAGCTCTTGTCTTTAAACTGGAAGAAGGACAGGTACTTCTCAGCCACATCCCTGCTGAAGTCATTGCTATAAACCAAAAAGGGCATGGGAAGAGTGAGGAACCTGAATCTTGGAGCTAGAAGGCTGGCAGAGAAGATGGAGGAACAGGAGCTCTGGTTGGCCATCCCAGCTGCCAGGAAAGCCCAACAGGAGGGACAGAAAGGAGGTCCTACCAGAGTCAGGAATCAGTGGGCTACCTGTCCAGTGAGTCAGGCACAGTCTGGGCAAGGTAATGATACACTGCTCCATTCTGCCCCAACATGGGTCATGGGAGAACAGGTAGAAAATCACTGCTATTTTGGAAACCTCATCCCTGCCCCAGAAGGGGTATGAGGACAAAACTAGATCAGTGCAGTGGAGAGGGAGAAGGGATATGGAAACAAGGGTGGGCCAGCGGAAGCAGACATAGACCATGCTGCAGGTGGGGCAGGGAGGAGAGTCAGGGAGGAGGAAAGCACAGGGACAAGATGGCAGAGTATGCAGAAAGGCAATGCCATGGGCACATTAGCAGAAGCCAGTTAGCCCTCTAATCAGATCTTCCCTGTAAGGGGATGCTCCATTTGTTAACCAACCAGCCTGGGCCCCTGCTTACTTCTTCTGAAGGTGCACAGCCACCTCAGATTTCCGGAAGCCATCCAGATGGTAGAGGCGCGAAGCCAGTTTCCAAGCCACTTGGTCGGGGCTGACCCCATTGGCAACCTTGTCTTTAGCCTCTGGCTTCTGTCCTTCTCCCTGGGGCTCTGTTTGGGACTCGGTGCTTCTAAGATGTCTAAAAAGAGATGGAAGGAGAGGACCTTGAGGATAAAGCTGTAGACCTAGGGCAGACCACTGAAGAATGACAGGCCTAGGTTAGCTCTGCGAACCTAGCAATATTCACGCTGCTAATGAAGGTGCAACATCTAATATCAGTCCCAGGCCAGAGGACTAATCCAGGCCTCTGAGGATGAGTGTGACCCAAGGCCAACTGCCATAGGGAGGACAGCTTCAGGCACAGATTATACCAGCCCTCAAATCACATTTAGATCAAGCCCCGAAGCACCTAGATGGAGCAGTAGATAGAGCAATCAACTTGGAGTCAAGAAGACCTGAGTTCAAATCCATCCTCAGACACTAGCAGTGTGACCCTGGGCAAGTTACTTCATCTCTCTTTGCCTCAGTTTCCTCAACTGTAAGATGGGGATAATAAGAACATCTACCTCACAGAGTTGCTGTGAGGATCAAGTGAGATTATTATTATAAAATACTTAGCACAGTGCCTGGCACATAATAAGCATTATGTAAATGTTAGCTATTATAATTATAATTATTAACTTCTCAGGGCCTTAGTTTCTTCCTCTATAAAATGAGGGTTGGGTTCTCAGATTCCTTTCAGCAGTGAGTCTATAATTCTGCCCCTCTCATGAAGGGAACTCAGCTCTTTCAGGGTCTGAATAATTAATAATAATAGCCAACATTTTCATAATGATTTAAGGTTTGCAAAATGCTTTGCATATATGATCTCATCCAATCCTCACAACAGCCCTGTAAAGTAGGAGCTGCTGTTACTCCTGTTTTACAGATCAGAAAATAGGGATTTAGTGACTTGATCATGAGTCCTGTATGGAACTGATCAGGAAACAGCTGGAGTGAATCTGAGAGGAAGTAAAATCTAGCCCATTCTCCTAAAACCTTAGCTGACAGCGCTCTGACTTTCCATTTGCCTGTGCTCAAAGACATTCAGGAAACGAAAAATAAACAAGCCTGAAGCTCTAGATGTAGGGGCTCCCATCTTTCCAGCTTGTGCTCTTCCTCCTCCTCCTCCTCTTCGCCCCTTCTCTTCTTTCTCCTCCTCCCCCTCTTCTTCCTCCTCCTCCTCCTCTTCCCCCCTTCTCTTCTTCTTCCTCCTCCCCCTCCTCTTCTTCTTCCTCCTCCTCCTCTTCCCCCTTCTCTTCTTCCTCCTCCTCCCCCTCCTCTTCTTCCTCCTCCTCCTCCTCCTCTTCCCTTAGTTCTAGCTCTTCATTATTCCCTAGAAGCCTCCAAGTTTGGGGTGAGTAGCATGGGAGCATATGGACAGGCATGACAGCAAAGAGCCTGGCTCAGCCCCCGGAGGGGGAATGATACAGGGAGCACACAGAGAACTGTCTCCCTTTCCTTCGTATAATTAGACATGTTTTATTTGCATCTATGAAATAACTACAGCTAATGCTTATGGGCTGATTGTTTCTACATAAGCAAAAGAGCCGGCTTCTCTGGCTCCTCTAGGAGAAACCAAGTGGCCCTGGGTCCCGGGGAAGCAGATGATCAAAGGGTATTTAGCATCCAAGTGGGAGGCACAGGATAATTAGGGGAAATGGTTTGGAGGAAGCTGGGTGCCTGGAGAAATTTTTTTTTCCTGGTAACTAAGGGAACTAGGCCCAGACTCAACCAGGAGTAGGAATAGAAGATCAGGAAAGAGATATCAAGGGAGTCAAGGCAGGACAATTCAGCCTGGGCCTCAGATAGCCAAAGGTGAGAAGTGAGAAGAAAATACAGACATCATGGGGGGAAAAGCTGGAGTCAGAAACAAGGAATTTCATTATTTGGTTGTTGTCCTTCGTTCCTGAAGAGGATCAAAATGACAACACTATGTTAGAGTCAAGTTACAGTGTGTCCGACTGTGGCTGAACAGACCCATACGAGCTCGGAAGGCTCTACACCACATGTCGGGCACAAATAGCCCATGTGAACATTTGGGGTAGAATTCTCTAAATTTGTGCAACTTGTGTTTCTTTTGAGCTATTTCAGTTCTGATTTGCTCACAGAGCACAGCACCTTCTCTGACGAGGGCACGCCATGCTGGGTGGTACTGTGCCAGTGTCTCCCACGTCACATAATCAACTCCAAAGTTCTTAACAGAGACTTTAGGAGTGTCCTTGTATCGTATCTTCTGACCACCATGTTCGGCTTGTCCTATGTGAGTTCTCCATAAAACAGTCTTTTAGGGAAGCTTATGTGCGGTACATCTATTTGGAATGATGGACCAATAGGACTTATGTCCTGATCAAACTTTGGTTCTCTACAATAGCAATCTTTGTTGCCCTCAAGAATAATAAGAAATTATAAGGATCATAAGAAAAATAAGATAATGATAAGAAAGGATAAGAAAATGATAATAAAAAAAAGAAAACTACATTAGGTAAGAAAAAAATCTTTCCTATAAACACTTGTGATAAAAAGCAGACATACCAATCCATAAGAAATTGTCACAAATTTGAAAGAATAAGACCCATTTTCTAACAAATAAATGGTCAACAGCTAGTTATCAAAAGAAAAAAAACCTACATTAATAATTAAGGATAAAATTATTCAATCTCTAATAATCAGATGCAAATTAAAGTAGTTCTGAGATGCCATCTTACACAGCAGAGGAGGTGAAAAAAGCTCAGGACAACAAAAAAAAGTGATTAAAAATTATAAATCCAATGTTGGTGAGGCTGTAGAGAAATAGGCACAGAATTTGTAGAGCTGTGAATTGATGCAATCTGTTTGAAAAGCAATACAAAACTATACAATAAAAGCTGCTTTTCATAGCCTTTTGAACTAGTGATCCCACTACTAGGGTTGTGTTATAAGGATTTTAATCGTAGGGAAAAAAAAACTGTTTCTCTTTATACAAGCATCCTTTAGCAGCACCATTTGCAATAGCGCTAGAAACAACCCATATGGGCAGGAATGTCTAGAAAAATTGGGAAATGTAAATGTGATGCAATGTTATTTTATCATAAGAAATGACAAATATGAAGAGCATAGTCAAATGAGAACACATGTAAACTACTTTACAAACCATAAAACACTATATAAACATTAGCTATGATTATTATTACAAAGAAATGTAGGGAGATTTATAAGAAATGACACAGAGTGAGGAAGGCAGGGCCAAAAAGCGTGTACAAACTCTGGAAAGTGAAAGGAGTTGTAACAATAACTAAGTCCAGAAAAAACAAACAAACAACCGCACAGATGAAAAAGCAGGACAGTTGTGATTTTCAATTTCCTTTCACCAAACTGCTACTAATGGAAGTATAAGTTTTGCACACAATCATGTTTGTGGTCACTTATTTTATTCTTTTTGCGTTCAAAAGTTTGTTTTTGTTGATAATTACTAAGATCAAGATAAAATATATAAATTGCAAAGCATTTTTTTGAAAAAAGAAGAAATTTGATCTGAGAATGTGCTTCGTAGAAGGAGATGGGGGTGGGGAGGAGAGGAGGGTGAGGGAAGATATTAGTTTCTGGAGGCCATCTAACCACAGGAAGAGGCCACAAACCTGCAGAAGTTGGGGGTAAAACCAGGAGTCTGAGCACTGGGGAGAGGCAGACAAAGCCCACAGGTGTTGACTGGGATAGGGGAAAGGTCACACTAATTTAGCACCCTTCATTTTGATTCTCTGTGACAAAATGGATTCAGGCATCCTCAAGGGAGAACGAGACAGAAAGAAGAAGGGAGAGACTTCTTTTTTCCCTCCCTTCCTTTTCTTTCCTTCATCCTTCTTTCTTTTTTCCTTTCCTTTCTTCCTTCTTTTGTTTCTTTCCTTCCTTCCTTTCTGAGGTTTCCAATGAATGCTGTGTTCTTGGGATTGTGTTCTCCTATTACCCTATTCCTGTTATTGACTTTTCAGCCCTTCCCTGTTCAGCCCCCGTTTAGAAGCCCAAACAACTTGACATCAAGTCATGGGATCTCAGGGTACAAATTTAGGGACAGGCAGGCCAATGAGGACCACAATCTCCTTACTTAACCTAGCTTGAGGCAGGTTACCACCCCAACTGGGCTCTTAAAAGCCTTGTTGCTTTGGATTTCAAAGCTGGACTTAAAGTCGGGAGGACTCAAATCCTGCCTTGACATCAGCCTCAGTTTCCCCATCTGCAAAATGAGGACGATAATAGTACTTCATAGTATTGTTGAAAGAGTCAAATGAGATGACCTACGTAAAAATGCTTTGTAAACCTTAAAATGCTATGTTGCTATTTATCATTATGGTCATCATCATCGTTATTTTAGGGCTCACAGTCCACCAGCCTATGGTTTCAGCCCCAACCTTTGGGTTACTCAGGCCTCCTTTCCTGGCCACTGATGATCTTTGCAACCACCTAAGCCCCCATTTCAGGGTTCTGTTCTCCCCAAACTCCACCTGTATCATGTTGCCCTTTTCCAGGTCCTTTCTGCTTGATTAGACTTTTCTTTCCAGCTCAGGCTGGGGACTCAGGAGTGGGGGTAGAGGTTGTGCACCGAGCAGTCCTGTCACCTCCCAAGCTGGACTTGAAGTCAGCAGAGCTAGGTTAAATCTCAGCTCTGACCCAGGAAGAGGGGAATGTCACTCATCCTTAATTGTAAAATGAATTTAATCACACACGCACTATGGGCCTCATAAGGTTGTTGTGGGAAAGGGCTTTCTACGTCTTGAAGCACTGTATAAACATGCCTCGTGATGAGTTTCCAGCTGCTCAGTCTGTCCCAGTAACCCTCACTGATTCTTCTTTTGTGTCTCTAATTTTTCACTTAAAAAAGAAAGGGCTATCTCTTAACAGCCACCCAGCTTCCACCCAATTGTTCTGTGATCTGTGCTGTGGTTTCTCATGATTTTATACCTTCTAGACTTTCCAAAAACCCTCCTTTTGCCTCTTCCCCTAGCAGATCCCACATCTGGGTCTTTGGGGGCACTTTTATAGCCCAGTTCATTAGGTCTACCCTTCCCCTTCCCTCTCTCCCCCTCCCATTACTCCATCCTACAGGACAAAACAATATACATCACACACATTATGTACATTATAATTATTCCTTTTAGTCACTCTTACTCCCACACCTCACTGGGGTGGTGATTTTCCCTATACTTACTCTCTGGCATTGAGGGGTGCTGGGCTGACATCCTGCTGGGCCTCCCCAGCCACTTCTGCCTTGATTTCCCCTTGACTCTCCACTGTCTTCTCTGGGGGCAGGGGCTCACTTGTCTTCAGGAAACCAGGATCTGCTTCCTCCTTCTCCAAGGACGAAGGGTAGGAAGCAGCAGCCAGCATTCTACACTCAGGGAAGGCAGTGTCACGGTGAAAACTCCCCTCCAGGGGCTGCGCAGGGCTGGGGGTCGGACTAGGACTAGGGCTGGGGCTGGGGCTGGGGCTGGGGCTGGGGCTGCGGCTGCGGCTGGGGCTGGAGCGAGGACTGAGGCCTCCGACCCCAACTCTCAGGCTGCCAGCCTCCTGAAATGAGGCAGGTGGTGCCCAGGGGCCTGGAGCCAGAAGGTAAGTCGGCTCAGCATTGCTCTCACCTGGGGAAGAAGGCAAAGGTTTGGGTGATCCACCTGATAATGTCTGGAAGATGCTCTCCGCTCTTCCCCCTTCCCTTTTCCCTCTTCCTCTTCCCCTTCCCTCCTTCTTCTTCCCCCTCTCCTTAACCTGCTTTCCCCTTAACTATCTTCCCCTCTCCTTCCCTTTTCCCTCTCTCCTCTCTTCCCTTCTTCTCTTCCCCCTTCCCCTTCTTCTTTTCTCCTCTCTTTCCCTCTTCCCCTTCCCTCCTTCCTCTTTCCCTTCTCCTTAACCTGCTTTCCCCTTAACTGTCTTCCCCTCTCCTTCCCTTTTCCCTCTCTCCTCTCTCCCTTCTTTCCTCCTTCCCTTCTTTTCTTCCCCCTTCCCCTTGCCTTCTTCTTCTATCTTTCCATTTTCCTCTTCCCCCCTTCCCTTCCCCTTATCATCTTCTGCTCCCCTCCCTTTTTCCTCTCTCCTTTTACCCTGCCCCTCCTTTCTTCCCCTCCCCTCTCCTCTCCCTTCTTCTCCTTCCTCTCTTCTTCCTTCCCACTTACCTCCTCTTCCTCAGTCCCCCTTCCATCTCTCCCCTCTCTCTCTTTATTCCTTCTCTCCTTCTTCATGTCCTCCCTTCTCTTCTCACCTTTTCGCATCCCTCTTTTCCCTTTCTTTGCTCTCTTCACCCTTTTCTTTCCTTGTTTTTAGCCCACCTACCCTTTCCTTTCCTTGTTTTTAGCTCACCTACCCTTTCTTCCCCTTAATTTCCTCACTTTTCTCTTTGCCCTCTCTTTCCTTCTTGCCTTCTCATCTCTTGCTCTTACCCTTTCCCTTCCTTTCTCTCTCCCTCTCTTCCTCTCCCTACTTCTCCATCTGAACAACATCAGTACCAACTCCTTAGGCCCTTTGTTTTGACAGCTTGCCTTTAACTGGAGCAACAAGGCATCCAGGGACTGCGAAGCTACTGTCCCTCCATGCAGTTGCTTATGGAGGGAATCAAGGTCCTCCAGGTGTGCCCTTCTTCCCTCTCCCTCTCCCTCCCCATCTCAGGCCACCTTTGGGTCTTGGAGTCGTCCTCACTCCAGCTCAGATCCTAGCCCCCCTAGTCCCAGAGCTGTCCCCCGCCCTTTCCCTGAAGCCAGTTTCCAAGCGACAACTCACCTGGACCTCTCTCCTCGGGGCTGAGCAGTTGCTGGTCCACATTGGAGGGAAACTCTGTGGTCCATTGGTGTGTGTGGCTGTCCTGGACCTAGGGGAGAAAATCCACACTCAGTTCCTTCAAGCTTGGTCATTTATGAGATCATTTAGTCCAATGCCCTCATTTTACAGGGGAGACAACTGAGCTTGGAGGGAAAGTCACACAGCAAGTTCAAGGAGGAGCCAAAATTAGGAGTTGGCTCTCTGGAAACTCAAGTCTCTTTCCACAGCCAATGAAGAAGATCTGGCTGCCAAGCAGAGGTGGCTGACTGGGAGTGGGGAGGAGATCTATGGGGGGGGGAGGGGGCCTTCTTTCTCCCACCCAGAGACTGCAGGGGCAGCACATTCTAGCTCAGGCGGATTGTGGGGCTGGGGGAGCAGAGGAGCACTGAAGTTTCATACCAGAGGGGATGATAACAGACTACAGAGAAGGCAAAACTCTGTCAGTGCATAGCACAGGAAGGTGGCACCTAGCAGGAACTCTAGAAACATGCGCTGAATTGAATGCTTATTTTGTTTCTTTCTTCTTTACCAAGGAGGTTGATCTTCAGCTGGGGAGGAAGACAGGGTTAATGGGAAATGAATAGCTAACATCTACCTATGGGGAGCATTAGAGCAAAGCACTTTATTTACACCTTGCCATATTGATCCCCACAACAACCCCAGGAAGTTGGTGCTGTTAATTACCCCATTTTACAGATTTGGAAATGGAGAGAGGGGCAATGATTTGACCCCAGAGTCACACAGCTAATGAGTGTCTGGGGCAGGATTTGAACTGAGTTCACCCTGACATCCAGGACTGTATCCATGCCACCCCTGTAGCTGCCTCACCCAAGGTAAGTTGGGAAGTGGCAAGAATACATTTCACTGCCCTCCGGTCCCCAGCACTGGACTACAACTATCTTATAACCCTGAACACTTAAAAAAAATGACACCTTGGAATCATAGTTATTGAGTGAGCAAGAGAAATGATAATCACTAAGGTTTAAGTAATGCTTTAAGGTTTGCAAAGCACTTTATATATTTTCTCATTCAATCCAATAGGTGCTATTATTATCCCCATTCTACAGATAAGGAAACTGAGGCTGAGAGAGAAAATAAAATGGTTATATTTGGAAAATGTGGAGAATAGAAAAAAAAAGTCCTAAGAATGAGAAAGGATAAATGTATTTTTTTTGAGTTGGGAAGGAAGAGTGCCTTCTTCAAATTCCAGAATGTAATATTAAAGAGAGGTTTATGAGCACTTAGAGAAATAATGATGACTAAGAGCAAGTGTGGATTTAGCTGTAACAAGTCATACCAGACTAACTTCATTTCCTTTTTTGACAGGATAACTAGACTGGCAAATCAAGGGGATAGCACTGATACTGCACTGTTCACCTGGTCTTTAGAGGGCATTTTTAAAAGTCCTCTATGATTTCCTGGTAGAGCTCTGCTCTGAGGCACAGCTACCTATGAGGCCATTGCCACAGCCCCAGCTACATCCACTTTTAGCTCCAATGGGATGGATGGTAGACACTGACCTTTCTGTTTGGGAGACAAATTCCCAGACTGTGAGGTTGAGTATCTTTCCTTCTCCCTCCCTCCATCTGAGTAGGGTGATTCCAAAAACTGATTCCAAAGTTTATTCTACTCTTTCCTTTTCCAATTTCTGTTTAAATGATTTGAATTTCTTTTGCAAGCTAAGAGAAAAAAAATGATCCATCTAGCTGCTATTGATATCTCTGACCCCCTATTTGTTAGAAGAGCAAAAAGTGTGACTGGCAATGTCCAATATTCCAAAATTGGGGACCAGAGGAGAGAGAGACTATTTCTGTCATGGATGCATTTCACCTCCAATCCTATAACCAGATAGACAAAAAAAAAAGTTATAGAAGTAAAGCTTAGCTCAATCTAAGGAAACACTTCCAAACAACATGAACTGTTCCAAAGTGGAAAGGACTGTCTTGGAAAGTAATGAGTGCCTCATCGATGTAAGTTTTCAAGTAGAGAGGGATGACAACTCATTGTGCATTTTGCAGAGAAGATTCTTCCTTAGGTTTGGGTTCTATTAAATCAGGGGTTCTTAATATGGGGTCCAGAGACCCCCTAAGAAATCTGTGGATAGATTTCAGGGGATCCATGACCTTGAATGGGTAAAACATTTACATCTTCATTTTTACTTATCTCTAATGAAAAATAAGCATTTCCTTTGATTATGAATGTAGACAATAGAGTATCATTCCGAGAAGGAGTCCATCAGCTTCATCAGATGACCAAAGGGGTCTGAGACAAAAGAAAAGGTTAAGAGCCCTTCCAACGGATGGTCTCTGAAGTCCTTTTCCGTGATTTTCGAGTCCAATCCACTCACTCTACAGAAGTGGTACCTTAACCAGAATGAACAGTTAGCCAGTGACCGAGGCAGGATGGATTGCAGCTTTCACTCTGAGTCCGCTATCCTTTTCACTACAACGTGCTGTGGAGGGGAACTATTAGCACCCCCTCCCTCTGGGGTGGTAGGAAACCATCCCTCAGAAGAACCAGACAGACCCCCTTAGAGTAGACTTCATCTCCTTCTGGGGTAAGAAGCCATGAGGGACGCTGGACTCTGCACCGGATTCTGATCAACAAAGAGGTGGTAACTAGAGAGGAAACCATGGCAACCAGATGGCGCAGGGCATAGAATGCATAGTGCTTTCCACTTGGGAACAGTTCATGTTGTTAGGAAGTGTTTCCTTAGATTGAGCTAAGCTTTACTTCTATAACTTTTTGGTCTATATAACCTATCTGGTTATAGGATTGGAGGTGAAATGCATCCACGGCAGAAATATTCTCTCTCTCCTCTAGCCCCCAATTTTGGAATATTGGACATTGCCAGCTACACTTTTTGCCTTATTAACAAAGGAGCCAGGAGGACTCAGATTCAAATTCTGAATTAGACCCATACTAGCTCCATGACCCTGGGCAAATCATCATTTGCCTCATTTGGAAAAAGGGGGTACTAGTAACGGCTCCATCCTAGGGTTGTTTTAAGGTTAAAATGAAATATTTGTATAGTATACATACACACACATATACAAACAGATACACATATATATAATTTGAATAGCACATTCATATAGTACCTCTGTAAATGAGAGCTATACTATTACTAGTTTTGGGGAGGCAATCAGGGTTAGGTGACTAACCCGAGGTCACACAGCTAGTAAGTGTCTGAGGCTGGATTTGAACTCAGGTCCTCTTGACTCTAGGGCCTGTGCTCTATCCATTGTGCCACCCTATTATTACAAGTATGATAAACAATGAGAATCTTAGGAATGGAAAGTGAGGACTTTCCCTTGGGTAATTGTATCATGGGTATCTGGTCTGCATACCTTTAGTTGCACACTCTAAGGAATCTGGAGAGCACACCCTTGTCCTGTGCCTTATCTGCTCCCTGACCTCTCTGTGTTCCTTTGGTTGTGCCCATGGTAGATGGTTCCACTAGGAAACTAGGAAAGGAGCCCTGGGCTTCTGAAGGACAGGAACTCTCCCACACCCCGTCCCCGCCAAGCATGCGTTCCATGTCTCAAAGAGTGAAAGGGCCATGTCCAAGGGCACTATGGATGAGGCAAAGAACCCAGAGGGCCAGGCTCTCCATCTCATCCTCAGATTTCAACTCTTTCCAAGGGTCCCGAAACACCTTAAAGTAAGATGATCCCAATGCTTCTGCAGAAGGTTGCTGGAAAAGAAACTGCTCTAACAAGAAAAGTCTAAGATAGTGTGGTGGGAAGAACATGGGGAATCGGAGGACCTGAGTTCAAATCCTGTCTCTAGCACTTTTTAACTCTGGACCTTAGGCAAGCCACTTGATCCATCTTGGCCTCCATTTCTTCACGTGTAAAATGAAGGCCCTAGATCACGTGAGTTCTAAGGTCCGTTCTGGCTCTGTTTCCTAGAGGCTGGCCCCCAGAGGCCAGTGTTGCTGTTCCTCTTGGCCCCACCCCCTCATGCCAACCAGCTTAGCTCGAGTTCCCATGGGCAGACTCTACCCTTTTTCCAGGCCATTGGCTTCTTCCTTACCGACAAGGTCTCCTCCGCCATCACGGGACCGGAGACGGAGGCAGGCACACTGGGACAATCCTGTTTCGCCCAGGACTGATAATGCAGTTTGTAGGTGGGCACTGGGTACAACAGGTCAGTCTCCCTTTCAGGATCAGCTACCCCAGCCACTGACTTGGGCTTATTCTCTAGGTTCCAAGAGCCCCCTCCTCCCTCAAGCAGGGATGTGTGGGTCCACTGAGTCTCTCGTTCAAGCCTCCCTTGCTCAGTCCTTTCCTCTCCCTCGGATACTAGGAAGCTCCAACAAGGCTCTTCATGAGCACTAGTGACTGAGGTAGGGCTCTCCAGGAAGAGAGGATTGTCAAAGAACAAACTCTCCTCCTCTTCCCCCCACTCCACAGGAGAGCCGAGGGGCTGGTCCTGGGGAAACTCTCGGGGCTCCTCCTCCGGCCCACTGCTGTCTTCCTCAGAGTCCGCCGCCATGTGCGACAACCTGGGGCCAATGCCCTGGTCTTGGGAATCTTGCCCACGTGGGGAGAAGCTTGGGAGCTCCATGGGGGAAGGTATGCAGCGCCTTAGCTCTTCTCGGAGCGCATCTGTCTTTTCCAGCTCTTCTTCCAGGTCAAGGACGCACATCTGGGCCTGGAGGATGCCAGCCCAGAACATGACCTGGGGGGAGTTGTTCCGGGTGTCTCTCCCCGAGTGACAGCGTTCTCTTGGAGAACTGGGTGAGGCATCCCTATTTGATCTAAGGTAGCATTCTGCAAGAGGTAACACCTGTGAGCTGTTGTTAGCACCCAGGATTCTGGGAACATCTTGGTTTGCTGGATCAAAAACCCAGGTTTGGTCTGTGCAAGGTCCAGGAACCTCTGTCGGCTCATAGACTCCCCTTGGGGGGTCTCCAGAGACTGGCTGAAGATCCTCCCCCAAGTGGGGCAGGTGATAACCCATGGACTCAGGATGACTGGGGAGCCCTTGGTCATCCATCATCCCAGACAGTGTAGCAGCAGGCTGGGAACCTCCTGCCTCCTCTGCCTACAATCCCATTGTCTTTGCTGAGAGCAGGGCAGGTCAGAGAAGTCCTGGGATGCACATGCGTCTACCCTGTGAAGCCAAAGCAAACTCCAGTTAGTGAACTCTGGGTTAGATCCAACAAAGCCTCCAAGGAAAATCACACCCCTGAGGGGGCTCAGAAGAAAACAGAAAAGTGTGGGGTAGCTCAAGCCCAAGCCTGGCATGCTCCCTGGGGTAGGAGGCAGAAGGCAGGTCAGCTTCCAAGGAAGGCTAAAGAACCATTTGGGGTGTGTGTGTGTGTGTGTGTGTGTGTGTGTGTGTGTGTGTGTGTGTGAATGGTCAGGCCCAGGTTAAATGAGAGGGTGCCTCCGACTGGAATTTGGCCTGCCTTCCAGAAAATCCTGTGTATTTTCTTCCATGTATCCTGTATATAACTTGTTTGTGCCTAGTTATTTCATGCTGTCTTCCTCACTAGAGTGTAAGCTCACTGAGGGCAGGGACCCTCTTTTGCCTTTCTTGTGTCCTCAGCCCTAGCACAATGCTTAGCACATAGTAGGCGCTTAGTAAATGTTTGTTGACTGACTTCATGGAATCAGAATCTGAGAATAAGAAGGGACCTTGGAAATGACGTATTCCAACCTTCCATCCATTTCAGGCAAGAACTCTCTGAGCAGCCCCTAATCAGGGGACACTAGACTTTTTATGCAAAGTCCACCCGTCCAAGCAGACCAGAATTTGTCGGCCTGAGGAGGCACTTCCAGAAGACGGCCACCAGGTGGCAGGCAGGAGCTGAAAGAAGACAGGTGGCCTCATGAGGACTCCCAGACCCAGAGTTACAAAGGACCTTAGATACCTCCTCACTCAACCTGGTCATTTCTACAGTTGAGGAAACTGAGACCCGGGAAAGTCAGGTGACTTCACCACGATCATACAGGCAGTTGGTGTAAAAGGTGGGATTTGAACCCAGGCCCTTTGATTCCAGGCCCAGCGCTCTCTGCAGGGAGAAGAAGCTGGGAAGACTAAGTGGACCAGAGCCCGGTCAAGACCCCTGAATCCCGGGGTCCTGTCACCAGCTCTGCCTCAGTCGCCTCCTTGCATAGTGAAAAGAGCCTGCTTTGCTCACTGCTGCCCCCGAGCAAAGTCAATGTGGAGACCCTTTGGGCTAAATTGAATGTGTGACAGTATCTGTGCCCCAACATAACATGACTTGCCCAAGGTCACCTTGTCCTGGCTTAAAGTAAGTGGACATAAACATCTGGATAATATTCCCAGGGCCTCAAGGCCATCAGTGGCCCTCTAGGTCCTCGAGTGCGACAGCCGCAGGTTCTCTACCCTGGTCAGGTCTATAGAAGGAGGGGGCTGGACTTGACCCTTCCTGCTCTAAATCGACCGTCCCATTCACTTGATCTGGCTAAGCCTCAGTTTCCCTACCAGTAAAATGGGGATAATAACCCCTCGCAGCACCTACCTCCCAGGGTTGCTGGGGGGGCTCAGCTGAGATGAAAAAGCCTCGGCAAATCTCAAAGCGTCATGGAAACACGAGGCCACGAAGACTTTTTGACCCTGGTCCTTCCTGAGCCGTCTGAGGAAGCCCAGAGCTAAGAAAGAGATTCCTGACCTGAGCAAGACTGGCGGCTACGGCCCCACCGGCCCAGGTGGACAGACCTCAGTCCCGGAGGAGAAGGGGCCTCAGCTTTCCATGGGGCCTTCAGGTGTGCAAAGAGCTTTCTTTACATATATTAATTTATTTGAGCCTTAGAGCAATCCCTGCGAGGTAGGTGCTATGCCCGTTGTATAGACGAGGAAGTCAAGCCTGAAAGATGTATGTAACTTGTTTAGTGCAAGTTATGTGACTTGCATAGATGAGAATTAGCTGAGGCAGGATTTGAATTCAGGTCTTCCTGCACTCTATTCACTCAGTGGGTTCCCTGTATCAAAGACCTCACTCAGCCCTCAGGCTTTATTGAGAATCATTCCCTGTCCATGTGAGGCCTCATTCACTCAGTCCTGGAAACTTCCAGTTCCCTCCGACAAAGAACCCCATGATTTCTCCAGGCCCAGCCGAGGCTGGTGACTCAGGGGCTGGTTTCGCCTGTCCCATTCAGGCGCAAGCCGGAGGAAATGAATCGGAGAAGTCCCTGAGGCGGGGGAGAGACTCTGGACCCACGCTCCAGCAGGACAGGGAGCCCGCCTTCCTGGGTGCAGGGACAGGCAAAGGAAGAAGACATCGCATGGTGGTCAGACCTCTGCCCCCAGAGATAGAGACATCTCCCAGGAGGCCCCACATCCTGCCAGGAAGGAAGAAAGATTGTCGTTCATGCAAATACAGCCATTGAGAGAGAGACAGAGACAGAGAGGGGAGGGAGGAGGAGGGAAAAGATGGGGGGGAGGGGGAGAGAGATGGAGGGGGGGCATAGAAACAGAAACAGAGGGGGGAAGGAGGAGAGGGAAGGAGGAGGGGGAAAAGAGTCAGAGAGAGAGAGAGAGACAGACAGACAGAGACACAGGGGGAGGGAGGGAGGAGAAAGAGACAGAGACAGAGAAGGGAAGGAGGAGGGAGGGGAGAGAGATAGAGGGGGGAGGGAGGAGGAGGGGAGGAGGGGGAAGACAGTCAGAGACAGAGACAGAGACAGAGACAGAGACAGAGGGGGAGGTGAGGAGAGAGAGAGACAGAGACAGAGGGGGAGGGAGAGAGGAGAGAGAGACAGAGGCAGAGAGAGGAGGGAGGGGGAGTGAGAAAAGGAGAGGGAGGGAGAGAGAGAGAAAAGTCTTCGAGGGGGAGAGTTCCTTGGGTATGTTTGGAGAGGACTTCCCCCCTCAAAGCCCTGATTGCCAAATCTGAAGGTCGAATGCCAAGGTCAAAAAGAAAGATGGAAGAGGAAGGAGGGGGAAGAAGAGGAGAAAGAAAAGGGAGAGGAGGAAGAGGAGGACAACGTGTCCAGCCACCTGCCAGCCGCGGGGGTCTCCTTAGAGGCTGGCTGTGTTTTGTTTCCTCTCTCTAACCCCGGAGTTTCCCCCCAGGTTGTTGCATGGGAGAGCGCACCAAGCAAGCCCCCCCCTCCCACCCCAAGCCCAGAAGCTCCCTACCTCTCCTTCCTTGTTCTCACTCTGCTGGGGGCAGCCGGCACTGGAGGGGCTGCCACGCCCTTAACCCCACCCCAAAACACTGTACCTAACTAATAACGATGAAACCAATAGTAACAAGAACATTTATGTAGCGCTTTAAGCTTTACAAGGCACTTTAAATACAGTATTTCACTTGAAACTCACAACCACCTTGTGACCAAGGTGCTCTTATTTCTCCCATTTTGCAGATGAGGAAACTGAGGCAGAGAGAAGTTGTGTGACTTGCCCAGGGTTACGCTGCTAGTAAGTATATGAGGCAGGATTTGAACTTATTCTTTCTCACTCCTCTGGGCTCCCTAGGGGCCACTGTGCAGACTCATCCCCATCTACCTTCTTCTCTCCTTCCCCTTCCCTCTCAAAACATCTGATGCCATGATGGAAAAAGCAATTGATCTCTCTACAATACATCTGGCATTTGGGTCCTCTTGAGTCCAGAGGTTTTTTATCCTTTTCTTTGTGTCCTGGACCCGGCGGGCAACCTGGTGAGACTGAGGAAGCCCTCCTAGAATCCTGTTTTTAAATGCATAAAATGTAACATTACTGAGTCATTTCAGTCATGTCTGACTTCACGATCACATCTGGGGTTTTCTTGGCAGGGATATTGGAGTGATTTCCCATTTCCTTCTTCAGCTTATTTTATGGATGAAGAAACTGAGGCAAACAGGGGTGAGTGACTTGCCCAGGGTCACACAGTCTCTGAGGCTGGATTTGAACTCAGGTCTTCCTGATTCCAGGCCAAGCGCTCTATCTACTGTGCAACTTAGCTGCCCTGTAAAATCTAATGTATAAGATTATAAAGGAAACCAATGATAGTGAAATAGTTACGAAAACATATGTGTGTGAGTGTGTGTGTGTATATATATATATGTATATATATATATATATATATATATATATATATATATATATGAACAAAATGAGTATGTTAAGTATTAGAGCAGGGTTCTTAAACTGGGTGCTATAAACCTGTGTTATATATATATCTGTGTATATACACATATATTTCACATATATGTTATATGCATATATTACACATAACATTATATAAGATACATGTATATACCACACATGTATATGTTGCAAGTATATAACATGCAACATATATGTTTGTGTATATGCATTTATATAATGCATTACACATGTGAGATATATGTATATGCATGTATTCTCTCTTTGTCTCTTTCTCACAAGCTGATAGCAACAAAGTTAAGAGCACTGCTCTAACTATATCGCTCTAATTATATAGCTGATCTCCCAATTATCTCTCACCTGAACTCCTCATAATAGCCCCAACTGGTGTCCCTGCTTCAAATATCTCTGCCCAAAATCTTCCTAAGGCACAGGTAGGAGAAAGGAAGGAGAAGGAAACGGTATTTATAAAGCACCTACTATGTGCCAGGCACTGGGTTAAATATTTCTTTAAAAAAAAACAAATATAATCTCTTTTGATCTTCATAACAACTCTAGGGGGTAAGCGCTGTTATTAACTCCAGTTTACAAATGAGGAAACTGAGGCAAGCAGAAGTGAAGTGACTTGCCCAGGGTCACACAGCTAGTAAGTATCTGAGGCTGGATTTGAACTCAGGTCTTGCTGATTTCAGAACCAGCGCTATCACGTGTCCCCGGCTGCCTCTAATGATCATGACCACTTCACACTCTAAAGACTGGTGGCTTTCTGTTTCCCTTGGGATAAAATACAATTTCTTTAGCTTGGCATTCGTAGCCTTTTACAATCAGGTTCCTACATATCTTTCCAGCTTTATCATACAACATTCTTCTTTACATATTCCGCATTCCAGCTGAACTGGACCATGCATGTTTTTGCAAATTTGACATCTACTACTGCCTCCTGAGCCTGGAAAGAATTCCCTCCTTGAGGGCAGGGGTGGGTTTTTTTTTTAATTTTCCTTTGTGTCCCCAGAGCACAGCACCCAGTACTTAGTAAGTGAGGGCTTAATATGTGCTTAATGATGGGCTGATTGACTGACACGTATAGAGGCTTCGCACTCTGCTCCCTCCCTCCCGCTCCTCCTTCCCCATCCCAGTAGAACAAACGTTATACGGATGAGGACTTTCATTCCTCCTCACCCCATCATCAGCTCTTTAGCACACTGGTTGAATTTTGCTGCTGTTGAGTGGAAAGCAGACCAGGTTGTCTCAGGAAGCCCTCTCTCATCTGTTAATGGCTTCCCCAAGCCTCTCAAAGCACCAGGTAAACACGCCTTGCTTTTCAAGCTATAATGGGCGCCCTTGCCGTCTGAGGAAGGGGCACTAGGCAGACGGATTTCCCAGATGCAATGATACAGTACGATCGTGGGTCACTTCCTGACAACTAGGGAGGTCACAGCCTCTAATGCAGACACGCTGCTCCTAACCTGCTGAAGACCCTGTTTCGGGAGCCTGTCGGCCTTCGTGGACTTGGAACCCCCATTGCCCATCTCACGTGGTTCTTTGTCCACCAGCCCCGGTCTTGCCCGTGGGGCTGCCCTTGACCCTCATGCTCTGGATTGTTGAGTGTTCTGGTCTCAGCGGCCTAAGGGAGAGCTCCTGGGGGGCTAAGCTTCGGCCATTGCTTCCCTCGATCTTTCCTTTGAACTCCTTTGGATTTCTTTGCAGGTGGGGCAAGGTGCTTCAGCCTGTTTATAACCAAGAGGGTCATGGTGGTGATGGAGGAGGAGGGCCTTTCTTTCCATCACAGAACCCTGGATGCTTGGCTACGAGCCAGTACTCGGTGAGCACAGGAGAAGTGCTGTCTGTGATGTAGGCCGGAAGGAGTGGGGTGAGGGCTGGGAGGATGTGGGGGATGCTCTTAGTGCAGGGTGAGATACCGAGTAGGCATTCACGAAATACCTGCTAACCGATTGATTGTTTAATCATCACATAATTAGCTTTTCATCTTCTCCTAGCTGGGCTTTCTCACAAAATCATAGATTTAGAAATGGAAGGGACCTTAGAGGTCATTAAGTCCAGCCCTTTATTTTAGAGATGAGTAAACTGAGGCCCAGAGACAAAAAGACTCGCCTGGATCACATAGGTAGTTAGTATCCAAGGCAGGATTTGAACCCAGGTCTCCCTGATTCCAAGGCCAGAGTACTACCCACCCACCCATCTCAAGAACATCTCCCATAGGACTCTTTCCATATCCTTGATCTGAGGTCCCTTGTCCCATCCCAGGCCCTTCCCAGTGCTAAAAGTGGATTCACATCACTCACCCCTCCAGGACTGAGAGAAAGAGTAAGTTGGCCTGGACCTCCTCAGGGATCAGCTCCAACCTCCGTGGCCTGCCTGGTGAATGGGGCAGCGCTAGCTAGCTTCCGCCTTCCGCCTTTCAGCTCCTAGTCACCTCCCCCATGGTTCCCCCAAGAGCTCCCCTGTTCACACACTTCCTGCCCACAAGATGTAGCTTTGCCCAAAGATGGCCCAAGCTGCCTCCTCTTCCCCTTTCTCCCTCTTGGCCCTCCCTGCTCTGCCCAATGGCTGCCCACCTGCCCCTACACCAGGCTCAGATTTAGGGCCAGGCCCTGTCCTTCCCTGGTTTTCACTGGGGTTGGGGTTGGCAGGGAGGCAGGAGACAGTCACCACCCTCCCTCCCTGCTCTGTGGCTCTCAGTCATTTCTATGTCATCTCTGTTCCTCCACCTCTTATGCTTCTCTGGGGGACCGAAGCAGTTGATGGAGGGGGGTTGGGTGCCCATTTTCTCTGCTTTCCCACCCTGGAGTCCAGCATGCATATGCTTGAAGCATGTGCTTGTAAGGTACTCCAATCACCCCTTTCCTTTGCATGCAGACTTTTACAAAGACATGCATATGATCTCCACACCTCTTGGGAGTAACAGGGCAGAGACTGCCATCCTTATTTATCACAGGTGCACATGAAAGTGGGTGAAGTGACTTACTTAAAGTCAGTCTTGGAGCCGGAGTAGAAGTGGGGTCTTCTGACTCCCAGCCCAACCCACGTTCTATTAAGAAAGCAGCAGCGCAAGCTGGGAAATCTACCTTCTGGGCATCCTGATCTTTGTCCTATGTTTAGGTGGGGGGCATAAGAGCAATGGTGTATGGAGAGAGGGGCATTAACAAATGAGACCCCCTAAAAGCCCTGCCTTGAGATCAGGGCTGCCCCCAGTTCCTTCTTCCATGACAAGGAAAGAAATAGTTCTTGGAGCCACAATGGGGAGAGCTTTCCAGGGTCTGGGCCAGCCTAGACCCCATGGCTGGGTCTAGATTGCACAAAGACGTTGAGGGAGAGGCGTCCTTCTCTATATAGGCCCAGAACCAAGGCTGAGCTGACCAGCAGGGCCTCTCAAACTGTAATGGACCGATGGCCCTTCCAAGTCTAAATGGATGAGTCTGTGAACTACAATTAGGGCGAGGCAACACGGGCCTTAGGGCACCGATACCCAGGGGGTGCATTTCTTCCTGGTGATTTTCTGGCCCACCAGCCCCATGACTTTCAGGCCTTTTCTAGGCCTGTGTCAAGATCCCCAGATCGACATCATGACACCTCATTTCCTTGCCTAGCTCCTGTCCACTACTCACAAGGGTCCTGTCCCTGTCACACCCTTCTCTCAACATCCACCTTTGCCCAGGGTTTGCCTGTCACCTTTCCCCAACTAGCAATAATAAATGGGCTGGACTCCCTGGGGAGTGGTCTGCTTCTCCTCTGCTACAGCTGTCAGCTATGCTGCCTGGACCAGATTGTCTACCACACCTCCTCCCATCCATCCCTCTGCCCTTCCCAAATGAATTCACCCCAGGAGCAAGAATGGCTGGTTAAGTGGGGCCAGTGACCTTAGGTTCCCAACCCCCTGGGTCTTCCCTTCTTGCATCAAGTCACACAGAGTCCAATCCACCTGCCTCAGTCTGTACTTGACACGCAAACTGGACAGACAGGCCGGCAGCAGGGCAAAGCACCCCCCACCCCCAACCCTTTATTCTGGGAGCATAAGCTCACTTCCTGTTTGCTTAAAGAGGAAGCTGGGTGATGGCAGGTAGTGAGTGGGGTGGAAGGGGCCTGAACTCTTGAGAGCTGCTCTATGGGGCTGAGGGAGGGGATCAGAGCTCTTAGAGAGGAGTCACCCCGGCTCAGCCTCAGACTTCCTCAGCTCTTCGCCCAGCACTGTCAGATACATGCTCACACACACTCCTACAGCCCCTGAAAGTAAGAGAAAGATCAGGGTTCTCAGCATCCAAGCATCCTGACGCCCTCCTCAGATGCACTGTCAAGTAGCCTGGCTCGTCATTATCACCAGCAGTGGGCTGTCTAGGGATGATGAGGCAGGGGACGTGGGCTAACAGATTCTAGCGTTACCCTGAGTCAACACGCTTCTAGATGTACTTCCTGTGGGTACTTGTCCTTTTTGAGAAGACTCCACTAAAGCCACATCCTTCTGTTCATGGAAAGAGATTCACACTTGCCCAGTGTCCCTCCCACCCATGTGGACAGACTTCTCCCACTTCATGAAGCCCTTAATGTGCAAACTGGACAGGCAGGCAAGCAAAGCCCCCCCTATTACCTCTAATCTTCTCTGCTAGGAGCAAAAACTTCTCCTATCTGACCTCTCCTCCTCAGTCTCCCACTCTGGGTCATCATCTGTGTCCCACATAAGCATAGCTCACGACTGTTCCGGGGCTCTCTTCTCCTTCTTTCTCTATCTCTCTGTCTCTCTCTGTCTGTCTCTGTCTTTCTCTGTGATCTCATCAGCTTGCATATGTCCGATTATCTCTATGCAGAAGACTCCCAGATCTGTAGATCTCATCCCAGATCTCTCATCAGCTCTCATGCATCCAATTATCTCTATGCAGAAGACTCCCATGTCTATAGAACTAACTCTCATCTCCCTCCTGAGCCCCAGTCCTGAATCTCCAAATGACTGAAATTTCTGCCAGAGCAGTCTTAAACTCGCTGTATCCCAGACAGAATTCATTACTTCCCCTTCCCCTCTCTTCTGACCTTCCCTGTCCTCTCAGTTATCCAGAATTGCACCTTCAAAGCTGTCTTTTATTCCTCCCTCTCCCTAACTTCCTTCCACATCCAAACAGCTGCTAAATCTTGTCAACTAGGTGGTGCAGCGAGCTTGGAGTCAGGAAGACCTGAGCTCAAATACAGCCTCAGATGCTTTACTAGCTATGTGACTTCACGTCTGCCTGCCTCAGTTTCCACATCTGTAAAATGGGGATAATACTAGCACCTACCTCCCAAGGTTATTGTGAGGATCAGTTGAGAATAATTGGAAAGTGCTTTGTACAGTGCCTGGCACACAGTAAGTGCTACATGAATGTGAGCTGTTATTAGGAGCTGTTATTGATTCTACCTCCCTGACCTCTCTTGTATCCTGATTTGCATTCAGACTGCTATTCCTCTTCACTCGTAGCTTCCTAATTGCTCTCCGCTCTTCAATGCACCCTGCACACCGCTGCCAAAATTATGCTCCTAAAGCTCAGGTCTGATTATGACACTCCCCTCCTTATGAACTTTCAATGGCTCCCTATTACCTTTAGAAATACAGATGTCAGGGTTTGGCATTTAAAGCCCTTCACAGTCTGGCTGCAGCCAGTCTTTCTAGACTCCTCCTCACACACGCTATGTTCCAGCCGCACCAGCAGACTTAGTATTTCCTCTGCACATCACTGTACCCTCTGCAGCTCAGCACAGACCATCCATGATGCCTAGAATGCTCTCACTTCTGCATCTTAGGATTCCTACTTTCCTCAAGGCTCATTTCAAGCACCACCTCCTCCAGGAGGTCCTTCCTGATGCCCCCTAGGAGGTTAGTCCTCTCCTTACCTCCCCAGAAATGACCTTGTATGGACTTGGAATAGACTTTGTATTGTATGAATTGTGTGCTGTATGTGTTGTTTCTTCCCAGTAGAAGATAAGCTTCTTGAGGCCAGGGATTGTTACATTTTTGTCTCCATCTCCCCAGTCCGTAGTGCAGTGCCTGGCATACAGTAGGTGTTTAATGAATGCTTGCTGAATTGAATTGAGAGCAATGTGCAAAAGCCAGTCAGGCTACTATATGAAGCACCATTTACCCTCGGGTTGAATTTTTGCTGAAATGAATTAAATTAGGCTTGTGCACTTTAGATTTGTCCAACTCTCTTACTTCACAGAGGAGCACCTGAAGGCATGAGAGAGAAGGTTTTCCCTGAGGTCACACAGCTAGAAAGTTTCAGAGTTAGGTTTTAAATCTTGGTGTTCTTTTTTCTTTTTTTTCAATTGAATTGAATTGGATAGGGTGCTGATCTGCTGGGGAAAGGGCCCTTTAGAGGCAGGGCCAAAGGAAGGCACAACCCAAACCTCTTCTTCACCCCACCCATGTCCCTCAGGAAGGGCAGGAAGTAATTGCCCAGGAGACTTACAGAAGCTATGATCTCTTGGATTGGACTTCCAGTAGCTGGAGGTAGGTGCAGTGACTTCTAAAAACCTCAAAAGTTCCATCCACGTGGGAGCTTTCTGTTTTCTGGGATGTTGCAAGACAAATTAAGATTAATAACAACTAGCATTTATAGGATACTTTAAAGTTGGCAAAATGCTTTACAAATATTATCCCATTTGATTTTCACAACAGCCCTTGGAGGTTGGTGCTATTATTACTTTCATTTTACAGAAAATTGAGGCTGAGGGAGATTAAGTGATTTTCCCCAGGATCACACAGCTAATAAAGTGTCTGAAACAGGATTTGAACTCAGGTCTTCCAGACTCCTGCACTCTATCCATGGTGCCTCTCCAGTTTTAGAAAGGGATATGGTATCAGAGTATTTGGGTTCAAATCCTGGCTTTACCATTTACTACTTCTCTGTCCTTAGAGTTTGGGCTTCAGTTTCCTCATCTGTAAAATGAAGGAATTGGACCCTGTGTCCAGTTCCAGGTATATGATCCCATAAGTAGCAGAACCCAGATTATCTGACTCCAAATCAAATCCTAGAGAGTTAGAGCCAAACAGCTAAAGGGTCTTAGTTAGAGGCTGAAAAGGTTTTGTCCCATCTCCTCATTTTATCCATTGGGAAACTGAGGCCAGAGAGAGAAAAGACCTGCCCAAAGCCCCATGGTTCAGAGCCCATTGATCTCTTCATCTTCCTTCCTTTCTACCTCGCCACTGCCACTGAGCTGACAACATTGGTTCTAAATTATATGAAAAGCTTTTTGATCTAGCTATGATGAGGAGATGTGTGTGTGTGTGTGTGCGTGTGTGAATATGTGAGTATGAGTGTGTGTGAATATGTGAGTATGAGTGTGTGTGAGAATGTGTGAATATGTGGATATGAGTGTGTGAGTATGAAAGTGTATGTGTGTATATGTG